GAAAATGAAATATTATAAACAGTTGGGATCATTACTATTTCTTTAAAAAATTTTGTTTTTGATTGTTGATGTCTTGTTTGCCATGTAGGATGGAATGGGTCATTTATAAATGTCATGTATGGAGTTTTAATAGATAATGGAGCCCATGGAATTATAGAATGAGCAAAACAAACAGTAGTAATTTTTCTTACGGTCAATATTAATAATAATACTAATAATTGATTCCAATCCATTACCTTAATTTATAGGATTAATGACTTTGATTTTCTTGGTCGCACACTTCTTTATATATATATATTTTGGGAGGATATTGCTCCTGTTTATTATGCAAATCGAACCTTAAATAGTTGGCTTTATTGATGTGTGTTATTAAACCAAAACAACCGTATACCCCAAAAACGGAAAACAGCAAGTAATTATTAATTATTATTATATACGTTTATGTTTTGGGGGCTTTGATGTTCTGCCGGATCGATTTTAATGTTTTTAAAAGTATAATAAAGGCTCGATTAAGTCCAGGTGGGGCATTCAGGGTTAAATAAACTTTTTCCCATTTGTTCAATCTCGTGTTGTCCTTTGCCTGGTTGGCACTGATGATAACATAGCTAATTCTACCTGTTAACAGGTAGTGGATTTTTTTTTTATATTTATTCATTATAAAAGGATATAGATATTTTTTATTAGGTAAGATTACAATTATGATTTCAATCCATACCCCTAAAATGAAACTTGCCAGCTACATAATTGGTCAAGCAAGAGGATCAGCTGCCATTTGTGGAGAATATGCCTCTGCTACATTAGGCGTGTTGAACAATTATAAAGATATTAAAATATATTGCCTCATTGGGAAGGACTGGCTTGTTGATAAACTTTCAAACTTCATTCCCATCGAATATTCAGGTTATACACTTGTAAAAAATGAAAAAACAAAAAAAGGAGGGTTCATAGCAATCGCTGAATTAATACATCCGGAAGATGTACCAGTATTGATATACTTTATTGAGTCTCCGTCAATACGAGTATTGCTACCTAAAAACTACATTACATGGAAAGAACAAATTACATCAAAGTTCACAGTTGCAAATGGTACCCTCGACAATGGAGAACCTCCCAACTTTTCCGATATTGTTGGGAGATTTTATGAAGAAGTAATAAAAACTATGGATACTGATGCCGAAAGATGTGGAATTTTTCCTTCATTTAAAACAGATCAAAAAGTTTGTAAATTGTATCCAGTAGATCTAAGGTTGACATTTATTCATCCCCGTTTTGAAATTAAAAGGAAACGAAAAATCTGTGAGTGGTTTAATGAAGATGAGTATAATATTCCATTTCTTTCAATATTCGAGAGGTTAAAAATACCTGACCTTTGTAATGCTTCTTCAACGACATTACATGAAAGGGAAGGTACTGCAAAGAGGACTATAAAATGTAAATTACAAGGCAAGAAAATTCCCATTGGTCTCTGTGTACCTTCGCTAATATTATACAAATTTGGTTATAAAAGGGCTGAAATATTGAAAGAGCCTATAACCTTAGGCGTAATGGCTTTAGGAACCAGTAATCAGAATATGGACGAAAAAACTTATGTCATGGGAGCCTTAAAGAAAAGATGGAGTTGTACTCGCAGGAGGAGTGGGCAAATAAATAAGTATCCACAGTATGTAAAGTGTTATGAGCCAGTTGGTCTCGTATATGAGTCTCAGATATTTGATAGATTCAGTCATAACCTAATTGATGGTTATATAATATCAAATAATGATGACCAATACTTATTCAGCCCATATGTCTGTCTTGGGTTACTGACTCGAAATATCAAAATCCTTCCTGTCATATATACTCATTTGCTATTCCCCAGAGGAAACGTTTTTGTAATTCAGAAGTCTGATGTAATCTGGTGTGTTCTCGGAAATTGCAAAGTGGCTCCTCCAAATACTATAGTTAATTGTATGAATGACCTCTAATTTTTTATAGGCTTTAGGGGACGTCGCACTTGGCCTACAACTTTCATGTTTGTTTAAGTTAATTTGTTTATATTTGAGTTAAAACGAATTAACTTAAATAAACTAACACAACAAGAAAATCACTCTGCCTTATTAGGCAAATGGGGTCTTTTTTGCATAGTGGCTGAGAAGTACGTTCTATGCCAGAGAACAAACGTCTCGGCCTACTGTGCAAGAAAGACCCCATTTACCTAATAAGGCTGAGTTCATTAGATTATTTTTAGTCTCCTCACCTGTGTTCTATACTCTGTCAGAATCAATCAAAATAACAGTTTGTGAACTGGTAATAAATAATAAGCCCAAATACAAAATATAATTCTTTACTGATGAGTATTTAAACCAAACCAACCATATATATATTGAAAAACGAGCGAAACGGCATTTTACTTTTTGGTGCTATGAGTTTTTACATAAATTTTCATTATGCCGGCATTTTTTGGTACATTTCTGATTATTTCTTTTGCAAATACATCTATGATTTAAACAAGATAAAAGTTTACAGTGGCATACTAATTGTTTCAAGTGCCTATTATCACTGAGAAAGTAATTTGATTGTCTACGAACAATCTCACGAAGCCCAAGTTGTTGATTCTTATTAATTTCGTTTGGCATTATTCTTTCGATTGTTTTATCAAAATCGTTTCTTGATAGATATTGGTTAATTGTTCCAAATTTTGTAGCTACACGATATAAATCTCTTTCATTGTCTATTTCGATGATAATTCCACTGATTGTTCGCATTCCTGTTTTGTTTTCCCTATCTTCTTTAGGTATTATCACATTAACAGTATCATATAGGCTAACAGGTGTTACATTTGCCGATGACAATTGTAACATTTTTGAGGCATTAGTTATCTGACGCTCATAAACTTTGCTTCTAATAGTTCCTAAATTTTCAATATGTAAATTATATGAATCGTTATTTACTTCAGAATTATTATTATCATTAGGTTTACCATCTTCTAAATTACATAATCTTCTATTTATTATTACTTTAGGCGACAGCACAATACCAGGTGATGATGGTGTTGGTGGTGATAATATAGGGGGTAATGAAGGTGGCGGTATTTGTGGCAGGGATAATATGGAAGTAGAGGCAGTTGTAGCACCAGCAGCAACAGTAACAGTAACCTCCTCAACCTCATCAAAAATTATTTCTTCCATGTCTGGCAACGGTGAAGAAATCTGACGCAGCAGCGGACTTGATGATGACAGGGAATACTGCAATTATATAAAAAAAAAAAATTTTAGTATACAGAAATTAATTGAGGACTCTTGTTTTCCAAGGTTGAACTGAAAACAAAACCAATAAATATTAAGGAATTTTACCTTTGCTTCTTTGCCTTTTTTGCCTTTTTTTTCTTTCTTCCTCTTTTCTTCTTCTTCTTCTTCTTCTTCATTGTCATCATAGTGACAGTTATTGAACAATTGGCTATATATTGAGGGCGAAAGACGAATCTTCATAACTATTGGCGGTTCTATACCAAAAACTGCCTTGTAAGGCGATATGCCAATTCCACGTGAATATGCTGTGTTTTTGGTGAATTGCACAAAGGGAAGTCCAGCTGACCAATCTCGCGTTTGATTCTCACACATCCAACTGCCAAGCATTTTGATTACATCCCCATTCGCACGTTCAATGCTCCCTTGGCTCTGTGGATGACGAGGTTTGCTATTAATGAGGAGCATGTTGGGCCACATTTCGTTTTTTAGCTCTTGAATGACCTCTGCCACAAATTCACGGCCGTTATCGCTCTGCAGAATTCGTGGGGCTCCCAAGAGAGCAAATATATCGAGTAAGTGGCGTGCCACTTCAATCGCCCGTTTACTGCGAAGAGCTCGTAAAACCGAAAACTTTGTTAAATGATCCTGATAATGTAAAATATATTTATACACACATCCTCCTTCTTTTTGCATATTTATTAAGTCCATTTGTCCTCGCTCCGCAAAACTGGTCGATACAATGGGCCGTATTACCCCCTTTTTTCGTCGAGGAAGTCGTTTCAAATTGCATATGTGGCAGAGTGAAATAAAGAGTTTCACCGATTGTTGAGTGACGTTAGCGATAGTTTTACTTGCTTCAAAATAAGTTCTTTTTTCTCCTCCGTGACAAACTGCTCTGTGTGCATCATAAATCGTATCATACAATTGCCCTTGATGTATGAAACGACGACACATCCGGCCAGGATCAGCTGTTGTTGTTCCTGTTGTTGTTGTTGTTGTTGTTGTTGTTACAGCCGTAGTAGAATGACGATTGTCACTGGTCAGTTTACGCTTGGTCCCCCGCTTCATTCTTCGTTCAGTTTCGTCGATGGTTACTAAGACGTCATCCCCAAATAGATTTTTGACATCATATCGAGACAATAGATCATATTCATGAGATGTCTTTGTAGTCAGTTTCAATTTAGCATTTTTGACTTCCTCGATGTATTGGGCTAATTTTTCTCGAGTGAAAATTTTCCGGCTTCCATGCCCACCTTTTTCCAACATTTGGCTAATTTTTAATTCAAATTCCTTTTTTTGTATCACCTCTTCTTCTCTCTCACACCCTTCATTAACTTTTTGTCCCAAAGGTAAAGACGTGGATGATGAAGGTAATGGTTCTTCATCAACACTAGTATTGTTATTATCACTTCTTTCTTGTTGTTTCTGTCCACATGTTAATGGAGAGGAAATTGTAGGTGTGTCCTCCATGCTGGAGCAAAATCGACTGACTCTGATATTAACCCTCACACGCTGAATATTTTATATTGACCAATCACTGGCAGGCTTTCTTGGTTAAGCTGGCAGTTTACAGTTTGTGCTTATTTGACTAAATTATTCCTGTAAGACAACACAAACATTGTTGTTACATTCTAGGTCAATTATTTCAAGTTTCCGTTAAAATGTCAGTGTCATCAATATCTAGCAAAATTATTATAATACTTTGCCTAATGGGCAGAGTGCACTTATTGTATGTGGAAAAAAAAAAAAAAAAAAAAAAAGGAACTAGACTAAAATTTAATTTATTGACTATCATCAATTCAATGTGTGTGTTGCGGGTTACAAACAAAAAATCAGTGTAGCATCATACCCTCCCTGAGAGAGTGAAATATCATCAGTTCAATGTGTGTTGCTGGTTACGAACCAAAAAAATTCAGTGTAGCATCATACCCTCCCTGAAAGGGTGGAGGGAGGTGTTAAACAATGATAGGGTTAATTACCAATGTTTGAATGTGGTTTGGGGAAGTTGGTTGACGGTTAGCCAATTTCCTTAACTCTCAAAACTTAGCTGATGTTCTTCTTTATGTTAACGACCACTTGTATATCTTCCTTAAGTATGTTAACTATAGCCTGAAGTGCATCCTGCTGCCATTTTAGGTATTGTGATATATCCTGCACTTTGTCAACAACCAGTCCATACCGTTGGGCTCGCGGAAAACTACCAGGCTTTATAGACTGAGCCATTAGTTCATTCAAACATCCCTTGAGGTCCTGCAGCTGCATATACAAGTTTTCTAATCGCAGTCGAATCTGATCCTCTATTTCTTCTAGTGGTAGATTTTTTTTCCTTTCAACCTCTTGTGCTGACACCAATTTTAGAACTCGGCGCATTATATTTGTCTGTTTCAACTTAAAATTCTGAATGGTAACTTTAATTGTCGTCTGCATACAACTTAATTGTCTTATATCATCCATAATATTCTTCATACTATTATGAATTTTATTGCCATATTCTTCTTGATACTTGAACTGTTTCTGTAATTCCTGAAATCCCACTTTTACAACAGGTATCAATTTCTTTGGGTCAGGATTTTTTTGCTTGCCCAGTTCCCACAATGCTGGATCAATTCCTATAAACAATAAATAATTTATTTTAATTTTTAATTCCACAAATGTAGGTACAATAAAAAAATACCCCGTAATATCTTCACTTTTGTCATTATGTCACGATAAGTAGATGGATTGGTCATATCAAAATCATTTACCTCTTTGCGGTGTATCAAGATATTTCTTCATTTGTTGTTCAGTTAAAGTCAACATTGGAATAATCTGTTCAATAAACAAATTCTGAAACAGAAAAAGTAGGCATTTTTGTCTCTGTCTGGCTATCTACCTGCCTGTCTATCAAAAAACGTTCCATTAATAATGTCCCTTTTAAGCTAATTTGATTATTTAAGCCAACCTGATATCAAATCCCATTAAATAGATTGGTGCAAGCTATAATAAGGCTTACTTAGGCTTACCTTAAAAATTGGATTGTATGATGCTCTTAACATATGACTAAAGGTGTCAGTGGTAGATGCACGTTGAATCTCTCCTAGAAGGTATATTATAATATAGAGCAGTTTGCATAATACCATACTTGAAATCATTTTTTATGATAATTATTATTAGGGAAAACATTATAAAATCTTTAAATTCTTTTACCATTAGGAAAAACTTGCTGAATGTAAAATCTGAAGTTCGTTTTGTTTGGTACTTCAGCAGCAAAAATTTCATTAACAACAACTTCATTACCTCCGAATAATAGACTCAATGCTGAAATAACTTCCTGTTTGTAGGCCCTGGAAGAATAAAAAAAAATAAAAAAAACATTTTTTAATGTTCCCGGATCCTAGTCATATTTAACACTGAAAAATTATTAGAATATTATACAAGTATATGATTATTAATTACTTACTCCACTTCTGAAAGGCCCCTTCCAATTATAATTTGCACAATACCATCTTCATTACGATAATTGGGAATTTTTGTATAGCAAACTACTTTGAAACGACAATATGGATTTTCAGATGTGAACTCTACAGGTGACATATTGGACGAATAATAACCTGGAATAAAATTCATAAAATTATACTTTATTTTAATTATATACATTTTACAATATTATAAACAACTAGTCAAATCTACTAAGTTTTCCATAATGGTTTACTCACTACCTCATCGAAAAAAAAAAAATCCACATATTTACCTTTACCAAACCCCCAAAAAGCTTGAAGTTGATTCCACTTTCGCAAGACCTCATCATTTTCATTATTGAAGTAGGAAGGAGCACAGATTGCAATATGTAATGCCATTGATGATGAGCCCGGTTGTTGGTGAAGCATCTGAAACTGATGATTGCCCCTATTTGATTCGACCAGTGAAATAAAAACAATGTTCATCGAATCCTCACACATTATGGTGAAACCATTTAACACACCATCTCACCAAATGACCTACAACAGATCACAATTGCCTTATGTTTGTAAATATATATTAATTTAACTAGTCAGTGGTATGAAGAAAACATTCAATAAAACATATCACTAACTAGTACAAATCAATAAATATCCAGCGACAGGCCTCCGTTGCAGAAATAGGAAAGCGTCTTTTCTTCACAGAAGTTCGTTTGTCAAATATTATGGAAAAAAAAAAAAAAAAAAACACTTAAATCAATATCATAATGCGCTTCTGTTGATAGGTCGAATTAAAAATTTTAACAATAATATATATCCAGCAGACAACATTGAGTTAACAACCACACTTCTTTTTGGCAAGACGAAACTTTATAGTTGATCTGGTGGTTTTCAGTCTATGACAAGCAGGCAACCCACAATCATCATTAACACATGAAGACACATGTGTATGCAAGAGGGTTGAATATAAGATTAACACCGAACAATGTGGATGTCTAGAAACTACTACATGATGACGAACCCGGCGAAACATTAGACAAATCGGGGTACAAGTTTTTTTTTGACATGATGCACTGTGGGCAAATTCATACAGCAACACATCGGTTCCATCGTGGTTAGCAAACCATTCTAATATTTGTAATAAACTTTGAGTATTAATTTCACAATAACGTTGTTTTTTTTATATAGTCTCAGGCGTTATATTAACCAACTTTCTCAAAGCCACATTTTCATCATTGGAATGGATATGGTTTTCTATTTTAACAATAATAGACTTGCTAGTTGAAGTAGTATCTTTTTTCTCTTTTATCTTCTTCTCTTCGGCTCCCTCACTGATATCGCTAATATCATCCTAGAAAGATTAGATTTCATCACAAATGCACCTGAGACATTATTTATTTATTTATTATAATATAGTGTCCAAAGCTTCATCATGCTTATCATAAAATAACTTTTAGGTACTTACACCACAAGATTCCTTGGATAGCTCCATTACACAGTAGCCCGTATTACTACTGAACAGGATTCTGGCATACTGGTTGACTGGACTGGATACGGAGGCTCTTATATATTGTATCACCGGCATATTGCATGGAACTTAATGTAATGATTCATTTCTCTCTTTGAATTATATTCATTGGTGAATATAAAATAGAAAAGTTGATTCAATGGCGATAACCAAACTTGGTGTTTACATCGGACGATAGTAGCACTGCTTGGTAATCATGTGATATGTTGATATTTTATAAAGAAGATTATGGTTTTGTTATTATGTCCATAATTACATACCTCATATTTTGTAGTCTTGTAATTAATGGAAAGAGAGAATGTAAGGTATTTAATTCATTATTCATCAAGTCAAAATATAAATATGATAAGTAAAATAGTAAAAGATAATAGATATATATTTTTATTTTTATTTTTATATTAAATTATTTATATTCTATATAAAAAAAACATGTTCTATTCCATCCATCAACTAATTAACTAAAAGTCTGAATCTAATGTAAAAACACTGTATTGATCTGAATTCATTACACCATATTTTTGATATTCACTTACTTTTTTTTCAAAAAAATTAGTTTTCCCTTCTAATGAGATATTTTCCATAAAGTCAAATGGATTTTCTACATTATAAAGTTTCTTAAAACCGAGTTCAAAGAGAAGTCGGTCAGCCACAAATTCTATATACTTCCCCATTAGATCACAGTTCATACCAATAAGTTTGATTGGCAAGGCATCTGTTAAAAATTCTTGTTCAATCTTCACAGCATTATCAATGATAGAATATACATATTTCTGATCAGGCTTATTAATCAAGTACTTAAATATCAAGCAAGCAAAATCTGTGTGTAACCCTTCATCTCTAGAAATCAGTTCATTACTGAAGGTTAGACCTGGCATTAAACCACGTTTTTTTAACCAAAATATTGCAGCAAATGAACCACTAAAGAAAATACCCTCTACTGCAGCAAAGGCAACAATGCGTTCGGCATATGTTGCCGTTCTATTGGTAATCCACCTTAGAGCCCAATCAGCTTTTTTCTTAACAGCTGGCAGCGTTTCAATAGCATTAAATAATCTGTTCTGCTCCTGTAAATCTTTTATGTATGTATTAATAAGTAAACTGTACATTTCATTGTGAATATTTTCCATGGCAATCTGAAAACCATAAAAACACCTCACTTCTGGTATTTGTACTTCTTGGCAGAAACGTTCAACAAGATTTTCATTGACGATACCATCTGATGCGGCAAAAAATGCTAGAACATGTGAAATGAAGTGACGTTCCTCTTCATTAAGTTTCTGTTCCCAATCTACAATATCCTTTGACAAGTCTACTTCTTCAACTGTCCAAAATGATGCTAGCGCCTTCTTATACATTTTAAAGATATCATGATTTTTAATTGGGAACAATGTAAAACGTCCTGGATTTTTAATCAAAAAGGGTTCAATCATCTGAAAAAAATATATAAATAAATAAATAAAATATTTATTTTAACATTGTGTTCACTATCATAGCATAATAAACGAATGAAATTATTGAATTTTGAGTAAAAAAGAGATTAATTTACTACGTACATGTTCTTCCATCCTATATTTTATGTAAACTAAAATAGGTACACACACATATATATATATATATATATATATATATATATATATATATATATATATATATATATATATATATATATATATATATATATATATATATATATATATATATATATATATATATATATATATATATATATATATATATATATATATATATGGATTATATATATATATATATACCAGTTATATATATATACACACGAGTCACATCTATATTGAGTTTTTCATATTTTGACACATATATATATATATATATATATATATATATATATATATATTCCCAATGAGCAGTATCCATTCTTTTCTTTGATAACGCTTCCCATGAGCAGTATCCATTATAACACCAGGCAGTAATACTTCCTATGTTTTGAAGGCATGCCAATTGAACCTGATTGTGACTCACTGCTGCGTTTGTTGCTATTTACTTCAGTAACAGTATATTCACTCTCTGGGAGAACTTCAGAAGGGTATATAGGGGGTATTTCATTGTTCCAAGTATCAAGTAGATTTGCTCTCAATTTTTCTGAATTGATACTCCCTATATCTTCTGTTAAAATATTTAAAGATTTTAAATGATTAATACTAATGTCTGCAAATTCATATGAAAGATACTTATTTACCAATACATAATTTCGTTCCCAGTCATTCATACTTAAAATAATCTTAACATCTTCAAAATGTTTTAAATTAAAGTTTTCCACTTTATTTATTGAGGGCCAAGTAATTGAAGCACATTTTATAATAATTATTTCACTGTTTTGAAGATCAATTAATACGTCGGCAAATGTTTTTCTTACATTTATCGATGAAACATTATCTAATATAAGTAAAAATGAATTTTCCACTAAATGATACAAGTTGATTGTTGGATTAAAGTTTTGTAAAAATTCCACTTTTATTTTTAAATTATTTCTCCATATGACAATTTTATCCCACACTTGAATTATATTTTTGGGGGCTGTTAGTATTATAACAGAATATTTTCTGGGGTAGATTTCATATTGCTTTTTCATGGTTTCAAAAAAAAAAAAAAAAGCAACTGCGCCACCCTTGCTGACAGTTGGGATCTTGAAGAACAAATAGAACCAATATCACCATCACTTTATAATTATCTGAAAATGATAAAAAAAAATAGTTCTTTGTATATTATAAGCTCATAAATATATAAAGATGTGTTGATACAAGAGTAGAATGAATAATTTGTTCCACAAGAACAAATCTACATACCTTATTTTTTATATAATTATCTTTTAGTAATAATATTTAAACAGGTTACTATATCATGCTTTATAGTATTATAAATCCTACATTTTAACCGTGATCCTAAATTTAACCACAGCAAATGGATCACTCATTATATTAATATTTTTTGCCCACATTTTACATTTTATAATATTTTCACCTGGGCTAAGTTTCAATTGAATAGGAAGAAGTGGGGCATAATATCCATCTATATGTTCCTTGGTTGGAAAATAATAAACAGGAAAACCTTGCGGAGTATATTTGTTTGGACTATTAACCCAAATATGTGAACAAGATACCCATACACATTTTGGTAACTTATTACCATTAGCAATTGAGCTTTTCTTCATATTTTCACGCAGGCTTGTAATCTCATGATCTGCAGAGGGTGGAAGATCTTCAATATTCTCATATACAATAGGTAAAAAATTGGGAAGATTACGAATAGATAATAAAATTATCGGTGTTAAGGTATTAAAATACCAATTCTCTTTTCTAAATTGATCAAATATGGATGTATCAAATTTACAAAATACATTATTATTTTCATCATTATGATTAATCGTTGTATCATCATTACAATTAACTGTATTTACATGAGAAATCATATCGTAACCACGATTTTGGTCCATATAATACTTACTTTCAAAGACAACATACAGACCAGCAGGTTTAGTATTAGTTTTTGTAATGAAATTCATTGACAGTTGAGGATGCTGAGTTGAAATTGTTGACCTATTTCTTGAATAATATAAATATATAATTAAAAAGATCACAATTAAAAATATCATAAATATTATAATATATAAGGAATTTGATAGTGACATTATTATTTTATTTTATATAAAAAAATGTCTCTCACATCTAAACTAATAATGTATACTAATGATTATATTATATATATAACGAAAAAACATTCTTGTTGACTTAGTTGTGTTAGTTTTGATACGACGGTCATTTAGTCAATATGTGGGGTTACCTGCAGGGCCGGCCTGGTCTAGGACTGGTCCGCGGGGACACTAAATAGTCCCTAAATC